AAGAAAAAAATCAAATGCATTGAATCATTACAACATTTCCTCCTGAATTTTCAGCCCTTGTACCTCTAGTTGTACACAGTGAGTACTCATCTCGTGATTAGGAGATGTTTCCATGAGGGCCACAAGTTTTCCTGCTAAGCCAAGCACTCAATATTACGAAACAATTCAATGTAAGATACCATTCTCCAGACTCTTCACTTTGTGAGAAAATATTTGCGGTTGTAATCACAGCAACACTACCACTATTCTGGTGAGGATAAATGAAAAGCAGCACACGAGACTTCAAACCTGCTGACTACACATCAGAATAAAAGGGGAATAAAATGGGAAATGTTCTGAAGTGCACAGCTGTAACCTGGCTTTGCTTGCAAGGAAATTACATCAAAACGATGCCAGAAGCACATTAAGACCTGGAAGTCAAATCCTCAAAGCTTAGGAAAAGCTGGAGTTTGTCATCTGCACACGCAGAGAGCTTTCATTTAACAAAGCCATTTTGCCCTCACATCCCCAGCATTCCTCTCTCATTAAAAGGACAGCAAATGACTGCTAGAATAAAGATATTTTTCCCCAAATCTACATCAAAAAAGCAAAAGAAATCCAAGGGGAAAAAAACTCAGTTGTAGTCTTTCCATGCAGACAAGAACTTCCAGGACAGAAAGGCTTTCCTTTGAGAGCCCAGCAGCCTACCAAGCTCACCTCTGGCAGTTAGCGCAGCCAGAGCTAACAGGGCTACCTGTGATGAAGGAGGCAGGGAGGTGTCGCTCTCCTGAGCCCAAAGCTGAGCTGGCTGCAGGTTGAAATACCCCGCTCACTGAGCTGGGACGCTGAGGAATTGAGCTGCCAGAAGTTCCAGCAGTGTGAACAGCAGCATTTCCTAAGCTCAGTGGGCCTGACTTGACAGCCTCAGAACAGCTCTTTACAGACAGAGGATCTGTCCAAACACTTACTGTATTTGATTAGGAAAACAAGAAAATCATTTACTGGTAGAAACTGACTCTCCCTTCATCCAATATTCTACAATTTAATACTTAACCACTTACCTGCCCACATTTCTCTGTATTCTGAATCCCTTCCTAAAGATTGGTTTTACATAACTTAGCAGACAACTGGCAAACTCCTTATAATCATCTCCAAACACAAACAGCTTATGCACAGATTACACAGCTCCCATGGCCGCCCATTTTTAGGGTATTTCCTTAATCTAAAACCAGCTGAGTGTTACAAACAGCCACAATACGTGGCCAAGGAGAAATCAGACTGCCATGCAAATTCCATACCAGGAGTACAGACAGTGTAAATGGTAAGCATAGCTACAGAAAATCTTTCAAGTCACAGTTGAGACCCAAACACGAAAGCACATTTCATCCCCTGGGTCACAATCCAGTAAGGCACGTAAGTATGAGAGTTACATCACACATCCAAGCAGTCCCACATAATTCAGCTGCACATTGCATATCAGAGTAAGCACATTTAAGTGCTTTGCTTTATTTAAACTGCAGCTATCAGAACAGTCACATCATACTTGAGTTTCTTGGGTTTATAAATGATTTTCCTGGAAGATTTAAGACTTATGTTTTTAATCCATTAAAATATCCTCACCTGAACCAAGAACTGAGGTGTTAGCAATCGAGAAGCTAACAGACTTTCTCCTTTATGTGCAAACTTTTAGCATTTCTCCAAATTTCCATACTGAAACCTGGTCGGTCAGCTTTGTTTTTCCTTCATATTAGCCCTAACGTTCTCTTCTGCTAATACACTGCTCTGAAGTTTACACTCTAAACAGCAGAAGCCTACTTTATTTGTATGATTTATAGATGGAGGAAGTGTTTATTCTGTTGTTTTGGTCACAAATGAACACCTTTTTAGAAGAGCTGTTAAAAAAGCCAGAGCAGATGTTTGATGTATTTATAAACACACTTTGTTCTGCAGACTCTGGTAGCAAGCTGAAATAACCATTAGTTAATTTTACTGGTATGTGAAAACAACAAAAAAAATTAAATGAACACTCAGTTAAACAAAGGCCTGTTCAGCTTAAACACACGAAGAGAAATACAACAGACTCGACAGATACCTTGAACTTGGTATGTGGCTTAACAAGAGCACAGCTTGGCAGATGGAGTACAGACAGGCAGACCTTACAGCAGTGCTTTCACACCTACAGCACTCAGTGGGACACTGCCTCTATCCAGGAACAAAAACTAGCATGCTCCCTCTGTTAGCATGGTATCTCACTTGTTCTCCTATCCCAACCACAATTTTCTTTCTAGTTTTAAAGACTTAAATGATTTACTCTAACAGTATTAAGTCTTTGTAAATATGAAGTTGTTCCTTCAGAGACAGGCAGGAAAGGGAGCAACAAGAAGCCCCAAGGAGGTAACGCTGCCCTCACAGATCCACACCACATCTTGGCTCAAACACAAATTCTTCCTGAACAGCTTTTTATACAGTGGCTCTTGAACTTTGTGTACATACACTGGACTTCCTAAACATCTTAAGAACAGGTTTTTTGACCCATCACATTTCTATCTATACTTTGTAGTTTGCAATTTGTCATTCTTTCAATGAAGAACACTGCAGTTAAAGTACTCAAATTTTAGAAGTTTTCTTCTTGTCCTACTACTTTTAACTGAAATATGGATCACGTGACAAACACAAACAATACCAGTTAAGAATCCAACATTCAGAAATAGATCAATTTTCAAAAGAATAGATCTGACCACAGGTTTAATCATTTAAGACGAGCTACAGATTATACAGATCCACCAAGGATCTGTTTAAGGAAAGAAGTGAGGTATGGTTAAGAGAAAGGAGGAGCAACAGCCAGCCACACGCAATAGTAACAAGGCATGCTGCATAGCTCAGGTGTAGCTCTGCTAAGCTGCTGTTGTCTTGACTTCAAACAATATTATTCAAGCCTTATTAAAAGGAGTTGCAGGTCTGCAGAGACAAAACAAATACAGTTCTTCCGCAGTACTTCCCATTCCAAAACTCGCTTGTTTGTAAATAACTTGTAATTATGTAAATGTACTTTTACATTAGCATTGGCCAATATTTTTACATTAGCGTCAGAGCATGCAAAAACAAAGCCAATATCAAAGTTGATATTTGAGTATGAAACGCGCTGTTCTTAAATCACTTATATTTAGGTCATTAAGTGAAAGTAGCTCCTCTATATTCCTAGTTCCACTAGAAAGGGAAAAGTGCAATCAGATCTCTTATTGACAGCTGCATTCAAAAACATACCAGTTACATAAGTTTGCAAATCATGCTGTGCAGAGGTATCTAAGCTTTTTAACGATAGTTCTTAAAATGCTCTCTCAGCAAGAGTGACTCAACTTCACCATATAAAATGCACTCCAGATAAGAAGCAACCAGCTCGACTTTACAGAAAAGGCTTTTTTGTATTCTGCTTTAATTCAAATTGCACCAAGTGAGCTCTGCTTGTTTAGACCTGCAAGCTCTGCCATTCCTTTGGCACTTCCATCTCTCCTTCTTGTTTCCAACAAAGTGTCTCAAGCTTAGCTCCAGACAGCTAAGTAAGTACTTGGAAAACAGGTATAGTTTTCTACCACACCTCAAGGGGAAACGTTTACCAGAGGACTACCAAAGGACTAGAAGTATTAAGCAGAGCAACGCCGTGCCTATCTTCTAGAAAAACTCTTCCATCTGAAGAGAGAGAGAACACCGACCAGCTCTCCAGTACAAGCTGCAGTTATCAGAGGGTTTTATCAGATAAATGTGACTGAGAGGAAAACATTAGTAATTGGCATAATGCATCAGCAAGACTTTTACTTTTAGAGCAGCCCCATGTACAAAACACACACACCCAGGAAGACAGGCCTGGAGGGAAAAGCTCTCGGAGCAGCTCTCTCTGCCCTGGTGAAAAACACTCGTACAGCTATCAGAACTGTTCTTCTTCAGTATCTTTCCTTTGATCACACAGGGAAAGAGTACAACTTCCTTGACCCATGTTTTCCTCCACCCCTTCCCTGTCTCTGATCTTATTCATAGAAAACCTATGAATAGCATCAAAAGAAAACTGTCAGAGAAGAAATAAGGGTAGAACTTGCACAATTAATTCCTGTTAATTTGGCAATTCACACAGGGCCCTGAGCACAGCAGTATCTTTAATTTCACCAGGGCTTCATGAATCCTTCAGCAGCCACCTGGGCACTGAAGCAGTACATGTAGAGACTCCGGAAAAGGTCACACTGATCCTATCTGGAAAGTAAGTTCCTAGAATCACAAGGGTTAGAACTGCCCTGTTTTACAAGACAATTCTACTTATTCTGTCATTACCCATCACCGTCTATGGAAAATCACCTACCCCTGAAGAGGACAGAGCTAAAGCCTGTTGCTCACAGGATTTCGTTTAAGACTGCCATCTGCTTAAAAGGAGGAAAATAATTCTTCAGCGTGACACACACACACAGCCACCATTTCCTCATCCGAGGAAAGGTACGGCGCAAAAATAAGTTCCTCACGAGCTCTAGGTGGTTTTGCAACAGCGGGGTTTTGCCACAGCCGTGGCACAGCGCTGAAACATTTCAACGTGCACAAAACAAACGCGCAGATATCTAACAGATGATGCCTACGAAACGGGTTCCGAAACGACGGCACCGCTCGGGGAGCGCCCGGTGCTCCGACCCTCGTTAGGGTGGGGTGCTTTATAAATAGATGCTTTTTTTTTTTTTTTTTTCCTCCTTCTCTCTCTTTCTCCGTTCCCCTCCCAGCGTCGTGCCTCGAGCGTTTGGGTGGCGATGGGAGAGGAAGAGGCTGTTTATAGCCATTATTAAATGAACTCTGAAGCGGCCCAGGGAGGGGGGAGGAGGGCAGCGCTGCTACCTGCGCCAGGCCGCCGCCTCAGCCCCCCGCCCAGCGCCAGGCCGCCCTCCGGGGCCGCGGGTCGCCCCCCGCCGCTCCCCCCCACCGTCCGGGATGGCGCCTCACAGCCCTCCCCGCTCGGCCGTACCCCCTCGGCCCGGCCCCACACCACTTACCCCCTCCGGGCCGCGGCGCGGACGGCACCGGGCTGCGGCGGCGACGCACGGCCGCGCTCCCGGCGACGCGTGAGGGCGGGCGGCGGGCCGGGATGGGGGAGTGGGGGGGGGGGAAGAACGGGGGAGGAGGAGGAGGAGAAGGAGGAGGACGAGGAAGGGGGGCGGCCTCGCCTCAGTTCATTCACAGGCGGCGGCTGCCGAGGGCGGCTCGCTGCCCAGGGGGAGCCCAGCGCTCATCTCGCCTCCCGCTCCGCTCCTCTCGGCCGCTGCCGCTGACCCCCCTCCCCCCCCTTCTCCCCGGCCCCCTCCCGCCCGCCCGAGCTCCGCGCCCACTCGCGCAGCGCCGCGGAACGTCTCCCGGCCGCGCTCGCGCACGCACTGCGCCGCCGCCTCCTCCTCCTCCTCACTTCTGCGCAGGCGCCGAGAGCGCGGCGGTGAGGGGAGGGAGAGGCGGGTGCGCGCGCGCAGTGCCCGGATGTTGGGGCTGCGAAGGTGGGGGCGGGGAGGTATTACATCACCCTGCGTGTGCGACCCGCGCAGCCGCACCGAGCATGCGCAGGGCGTGAGCTCGGATGGTGATGTCATCGGGCTCCGCCCCCCGCGCTGAGGGGAGGCGTTCGGGCTGGGCCGGGCGGTAGCAGTATCTGTTCTGCTGCTCGTGGCGGTTGATGGCGTTCGTTGCCTGCTGGAGGAAACTGAAGCATTGTGATGAAGGCTGCCTTGCTGATAGAGGAACGGCGGGAATGCTCGTGGCGATGGACGCTGAGGCAAACCCTGCTCCGCTGGGCCCACGTCCCTCTGCGGGCGGCGCGGTGGGCAGCTGGCTCTCATCCTGGGCTGAGGACGTCGGAAGTGGAGCGGATGTGGGAATTGCTGCTTGGAAGAAGCGGGTTAGGACCAGACTCATTTGAAACTATCATAGAATCAGTTAGGTTGGAAGGACCCTTAAAGGCCATCTGGTGCAACCCCCCTGCAGTGAGCAGGGATGCCCACAGCTCCAGCAGGTGCTCAGAGCCCTGTCCAGCCTGACCTTAGCTGTCTGCAGGGGCAGAACAAGCATCACCTTTCTGGGCAACCTGTGCCAGTGCCTTGCCTCCCTTATCATAAAAAAAAATTTTCCTTATATTGTATCTAAATCTCCCGTTTTAGTTTGAAATCATTTCCCGTTATCCTACCACAACAGACCCTCCTAAGGAGTCCACCCCTTTCTTTCTTACAGCCTCCCATGAGATACTGAAAGGCTGCTCTCAGGTCTCTTCTCCACTCTCTCAGCCTGTCCTTGAAAGGTTCCATCCCCGGGATCCAACAGGTCCATGACTCCTGTAGTGAGGACTCCACATCTGGATGCAGTATTCCGGGTGAGGTCTTACAGCACAGAGCAGAGTGGCCGATTCTCTCCCTCACCCTGATGATCATGCTGCTATGGATGCAGCCAGGGTGTGGTTGTCTTTCTGGGCTGTAAGGACACACAGATGGCTCACATCCAGCTTGCCATCCTCCAGTACCCCCAGGCCCTTTTCTATAGGACTGTGCTCTGTCCTTTCATGCCAAAAAAGGAATCGTTGAAGTAGGTACTTAGCTAAAGAATCAGGAAGGTTGTTGAGGTGGCTTCTGACAATAATCAGAATGCACAGCTGCATGGTAAGGTTTCCCTCAACTGAATGTTTGAAAAGTGCTCAAATTGCTGGTTCTTTCCCTGCTGCCATTCCTATAATTATCAGTGTAGCTTCCACCTGAGTGTGCCAGCAGCAGAAGGCAATAAATTGAGGGTTCTTATACAGATAAGACCTATAAAAGCAGAGAAGACCTAGAGCAGTCTAGGAAAGCTGAAATAAATGTAACAAAACTGCCTGGTTTCAGGATTCCTGTAATAGATGAAGTTATTGTGTCTCAGTATGACTTCAAAATACAGTACAAGAAAGAGAGGGAGCTGTTGGAGAGGGTCCGGAGGAGAGCCATGAAGATGATCAGGGGGCTGGAGCACCTCCATCTATGTATATGGACCTCAGGTATCTGGATGATACTTGAGGTCCATTCCAACCCTGGCCATTCTGTGATTCTGTGATTCAAAATCTGCAGTTCCCGTTGCTGACTGTGATGGAATGGTATGTTCGGACTCAGTCTTATAGTATTCATTCCAGTCATGTTAGTGTGAGCATGAACTACACTCAGTAGCACTCAATGTTGTTTTAACTCTTTCAGGCCCTTAAATTGCAGTTAAATGCGACTAATTCTTTAGTTGGAAGAAGACCTTTAGGGAAAACCAAATGAAAAATATTCTGAAAATATACTGGAGGTGGGAACAGAAGATACACAGTGTGTTACACAAAGAAATGGACATTTTTGGAAGGTCACAGACAAATTCCTGTAACCTTAATCAACGCTACTTTGAATTTCAATTAGTTATACTCTCGATGCAGCTCAGAATTGAAAACTTGCTTTTCTTTCTTTCCTTTTTCTTTCTTTCTTTCTTTTTTTTTTTTTTTTCCAAGTAACACATTTGAAGTTACTTTGCAGGCTAAAAAGCTGATAGATTGTGGATTTTTGTTTGGAATAGGATTTGTATCAATAATTTTCATCTAAAGATCAAACATATAGGTGAAGGATGTCTTCAGTCAGTGGAGGAAATCAGGTACGTCCAGATAAACGTTCCTCCCATGCTTACCCTGGTGTCTAAAGCAGGCTGAGCAATTTGCCTGCTGAAGGTGACTTTTCTCTCCTACAGTTTCTCTGGATATAGAAGAAGGTGAGATGACAACCTAGATTAGATTCTTAAATTTTTTGATGGCTAAAATTATTTAGTGTTGTCTAATGTAAATCTTCATACTAATATATAAGGCTTGTAATACCGTGATCTTGAACTTGCCAGGTACTTACACTTGGCTCTACCTCATGTCTTCTCCAGTGGGCTCTGCCTATTTTTAGAATGTAAAAGCCAGCAGGATGACTGTGCTGCAGGCTTTACGTCTTCTTAGTACTGGTGCTGCAACACCCTGCAGTAATGACGTCCGTAGGTACCTGCTCAGGCAGCTGTGCCATTGGGAACTCCATAAAGTGCCAGTACTGTAGCTATGATTAATAGTCACATGATGTTTAAATCATCAAATGCACACCATCCTGTATCCAAACTGAATTTATCTGAAAGATGTCACAAAGACTGTGAATGTTTTAAGAACATGGTGTACAAAAGTCCTGTGTTCTTGAAGTGCCACAGTTCTGGATAGAATTTGCTCTCTGCTAGATTCTTGTAGGGGGCTAAACAAACTGCCACACTTTGCCTGCTCAGAGAAAAAAATTACACTCTCTTTACGGGGTTGTTTTGTTGTTGTTGTTGTTGTTAATTAATAAAAAAAACATTTGTGAAAACAAAAACTTGTATTTTGCAGTCTACAAAATCATTACAGCATCTCTGTGGTTTTCTGGTTCTAGCTTAACAGAAAGAAAGCAATTCTCACTGATTCAGTTCTTCTACTGAGAATTTACTGATAAGAGTAACATGCTGTTCTGGAAAATCAGCCAAAGCAAAGCACAGTAAGACCCAAATGTCAACAGAGGGAAAACCATTTTTATTTTGAAAATTAATATGAAGGCTTATTATAGAATATTGCAATTATTTTTCTCTCCTTTTTTCCTTCAAATCTTCATTTTCTATCTGTAGATTTCTCATTTGTCAGTACTCATTAGGCATCACATTTACAATGATATTCCAAATGCAAATAAAAAGCATATTTTTAATATCTTTTCCATTTTAGCTATCAATTGGTGTCTACTACCCAGTAAGGCAGATCGAGGCTGATAAGTTATGTATACCTGTGCTTGCTCGGAGGATTGTGCTGAGATATGGAATGTGGTTGGTTTTCCCAACAAAACTTGGGTATGAAGAGCTTGGGAGCTATGGCCTTGTGTAGGAAACCTGCATAATAAAGATTTGCTCTTGAAAATTGTAATTCAGTTGCTCTGTAGAGTATTTTCCAGATTTAATAGTAGCATTGGACACTACTTTGGGAACTGACTGAATAGATGAGATTGAGAAGTCTTGTAACATTCCCTCAATTTCCTTTACTTGGAGAAGAATCTTGCTGGAGATGCCAGAGTGGCAGCTGTGCTTCCAAATCTTTGTCCTTAACTAGAACTAGTTTTCAGGGTGTAACACATTTTCTGAACTTCCGAAATAATGCATTTTTGTTACACTATATAAAGACCAGGTTTAAGCCTGGCTTCATACATTGGAGTTGGAAGGGACCCTAAAAGGCCACTGTGCCAAATTCATGATAGTAGGATGTAAATGGTCCTACTGAGATCATCACTCTTCAACACAGAAACCGTGAAATGGCATAAAGCGACATTAGTAAAAAACGACAGGACTCCAGCACTGATACTTTTCTCCAGTTCTTTTCAGTCTGAAGGGGTCATGCTTTATTGAATCTTCATTTGTCAGTGTACAAGATGGACAAGACATTGTTAGTTGCTGAAAGTTTAATTTTCTTGAGATGATTTTTTTTTTATCTATAAGACAAAAATGCGAGTTACAGAACAATCAGAATGTTTTACCAGCTAGGTTTTAGGCCATTTCATCTGTTGGATAGTTCTCTTGTTTTAAAAATGTAAGGGTACACGTAAGTTGCTCTTTTCATTTGCTATTAGTAGTCTGTGCATGAAGGCCTGCATCCTCACTGAAGTCAGTACAAAGCTTCCATTGACCTCAGTGTTGCAGGATCAAACCCTTAGTCATTAGCATGTTGTAAAAACGGCTGTTGTCCCAGCCAATTTCAATGGGCCTGGCTACAATTGTTCATTGTTTAACCTAAAAATTAGCTTAGCAATTACAGCTGAAACTACATGTCAGACTGTTGATATGTAGGAATACATCATACTGAGTCATCAGGACTCTAATGATGCTCTTAGACTTTTATAATTATTAATGTTCAAGCAGGAGATTCTGAAATTCAATAAAGATTTGAATTTCCAGATGTGAAGGAAATTCATATTCTGTGAACTCCATTTTTTGTGTTATTAGTCCTTTTGTTCTTTAAACAGCCGTATCTAGCTGCCTT